ACTTTTACTTCTTTTTTCCCCTATTTGAATGCTTTTTATTTTATTCTATTTTCTTTTTTTTTTTTTTTTGAGAGGTTTTTCGCTATAGGGCGCGTGCACTAGCCAGACAGACAGAGACATAGAGACAGAAAGCGAGAAATCACCCCCCGGGGGGGATGGTCACGCCACAATCCCTTCCCCTCCATTCTCCTCTTGGGATCTTGGGCACTCACGCACATGCGCCTGGAGTGAGTTTTAAGCCACCGGGTCCAGGACGTGAACCGCGGTTGACTACGTGGGAATCCAGCGACATAGCCATTATGCTAACTGCTGGTTCCCTTTATTCTATTTTCTGATTGCATTGTCTAGGACTTCTAGTACTATATTGAAAAGGAGTGGAGATAGTGAGCAGCCTTATCTTATTCCAGTTTTTAGTGGAAAAACTTTCATTTTTTTCTCCATTCAGTATGATATTAGCTATGGATTTTTCATATATGGCTTTTATTGTGTTGAGAAATGTGCCCTCTATGCTGAGAGTCTTCATCGTAAAGAGATGGTTTAGTTTATGAAATCCTTAATATTTTGCATATTTTGAAGCACCCTTGCATCCTTGGAATGAAGCCTACATGGCTTAGCTATGATTTGCTAGTATCTTGTTGAGAATTTTTGCATCTGTATTTATCAGAGATATTGGTCTGTAGTTTCCTTTTTCTCTTATATCCTTGTCTGTTTTGTGTATGAAGGTAAGGAAAGTTTAATAAATTTAATAAAATCAATTTTGAAGGGTTCTTTCCTTTTGGATATTTAGAAATGGTTTGAGTAAAATGGGGATTACTTCTTCTTTAACAATTAAAATTTTGTAAAATTCAGACGTGAAGCCATCAGGACCTGTGCTTTTCTTTGTTGGCAGTTTATTTATTACTGATTCAATCTCATTGCTTGTTATGGGTCTATTCAGGCTTTCTATGTCTTCCTGAGTCAATCTTAGTAAGTTATATGAAATTTTTCCACCTTATGTCTGTTGTAATATTGCCTCTTTCACTATGAATTTGATTTATCTGGTTTCTTTCTTTTTCTCAATTAGTCTAGTTAACAATGTGTCAATTTTATCTTCTCAAATAACCAGCTTTTGGTCTCATTTATTTTCTGTATGGTTTTTTTTTTATTCTCTATTTTATTTATTTCTACTCATACCTTTATTATTTATTTTTTCCTGGCATTTTGAGAGATTTTTTGTTATTGTTTTTTTCATTTCCCTGAGATGTACTGTTATGTTGTCTAACTTTCCATCTTTTTTTAAATGCACACTAATTGCAATGAACTTCCCTCTTATGAGTGCTTTTGCCATGTACCATAAGTTATGGAGACTCATGTGCGTATTCTCATCAATTTCAATAAATCTTTTGATATCAGTCTTCATTTCTTTAATAATCATGAAGTCATTCAAGAGTAGGTTGTTTAGTTTCATATTTTCTGTATTTTCAAGGGTTCTTTCTGAAATTAATATCAAATTTAATTCCATCACAGAGAAAATGCTGGATATAGTTTCTATGCCTTTCAATCTGTAAAGGCTTGCTTTGTGCCCAGTCATGTGATCAGTCTTCTAGTAGGTGCCATACAGGGGTGATAAAAAAATGTATATTTCATGGTTTGGAGATGGAAGGTTCTATAGATGTCTAAGTCCATTTGATTTATGGTATTGTTTATTTCCTGTATCTCATTGCTTAATTTTTGTCTAGATGATCTGGCCAAAGCAGAGAGGGGGTATTGATTAGAGTGCTGCAATCTATCCCTCCTTTTATATCTACAAGTCTTTCCTTCACGTATTTGGGTATTCCTGTGTTAGGAGCATAGATATTTATAAGCATTATATGTTCTTGATGAATTAGCCCTTTTAGTATTATACAATGCCCTTCTTTGTCTCTCTTACAGTTTTTGTCTTAAAGCCCATTTCATCTGAAATCAATATTGCAACTCCAGTCCTTTTTTGTTTTCTGTTTCCATGGAATATCTTTATCAAGCCCTTTACTTGTAATCTATGTATGTCTTTATCCATGAAGTGCATTTCTTGTAGGCAACAGATAGAGGGGTTTTGGGTTTTGGTTTTTTCTTTTTTTCTTTTTTTTATAGGGTGCATGCGCTCGCCAGACAGACAGAGAGAGACATAGAGACAGAAAGTGAGAAATCACCCCCCAGGGGGGATGGTCATGCCACAATCCCTTCTCTTCCATTCGACTCTTGGGATCTTGGGCATGCACGCACACGCCCACAGCGTGAGTTCTAAGCCACTGGGTCCGTGGTCGACTACGTGGGAATCCAGCGACATAGCCGTTACGCTAACTGCTGGTTCCCTGTTGTTTTGTTTTTATCCATTCAGCCAGTCTGTTCCTCTTCTGCTGGTTCCCTGTTGTTTTGTTTTTATCCACTCAGCCAGTCTGTTCCTCTTGAGAACTTAACCATTAACATTCAATGTTATTATTAATATTTTTGGATTTGTTGCTGCCATTTTGTGAACCATTTTCTTGGTTGTTTTTGTTCTCTTATTTCTGTCTGTCTCTCTTTAGTTTTCCTGGTATGACAATCTCTTCAGTACTTCTTGAAGAGTTGGTCTACTGCTTGTAACATCTTTCAGGTTTTGTTTATCTGAGAATGTTTTTATCTTTGTTTCCCATTTGAAGGATAACCTAGCTGGGTATAGTATCCGAGGTTGCAACTGTTTTTCATTTAACACTTTGAGTATATCTTCCCATTTTTTCCTTATTTGTATTGTTTCCCCTCAGAGGTCAATGTTAGACTAATGGAATAGCCTTTGTAAGTAATGGCACTGTGATTTTGACTATGGAGAGTATCTTCTTTGGTTGATTCTATTTGTGACCTTTTTTATTTTGTGGGTCTAAAAGTTTTTTTCTAAATATGGAAAGTTTTCTTCAAGTATTTCTTGGAATAGATTATCAATGCTCTTACTAGATTTTTCACCTTTTGTGATACCAATTATTTGGATGTTTGAGTGTTTAATGGTATCTAGTATTTCCCATATGTTAGCTTCATATTATTTGGCTATTTTAAAAATTATTTTTGATGATTTTTCTGGGTCAGAGTTTTTGTCTTCTAGATCCAAAATTCAATCTTTTTTTGTTTACTTCTTTTATTTTATTATGATTACCTTTTATATTCAGTCACTGCATATCATTGCATAATACAAGATGTATTTCTCCAGTATGAATACATTGTATGTCAGCCTAAAGATACTACACTTACATTATTTTTTACGAGGTTTCAATTTACCTATATATTATAACAATTAGTCATTGTATAAAACTAGAAAAATAGAGGAAAACTCCCAACATTATAGCAGAGTCTTTCTTTGAAATAAATTTTTAAAAGGGCTAAAATCAAGAATTTTGTAAACCCTATAAATCACCAAGTCACTAGCTTTAGCACGTCTTCACTTTTAAACATCTCTTTCCATTTTTTTTATCTTATTTTTTGAGGGCTTTTTTTATGCACAGTACAGTATTATGGTCTTACAGGAATTCACAGTCTGTGAGCAAAAGTGTTCTTTTTATTTTTTGTTTTAATTTATTTTATACATTCAATTACTATACACCACTTAGCTTGTAAAGTGAATTTCCAGCATTAATTCATTTCTCACCAGTCCAGTTGGGGATACTATACACATTATCATCAACAGATAATAATCCATTTTTGTGTCTCATAAATGTCTTGCTTCTCTATTTTTCTCCTTAATGACTTTCCTCAGATTCTCTTCTTTCACCCACCCTCTGCTATTACTGCTTTCGAAGGAGATTTTGATTTCCTGTGTTACAGCCTTCATCTCTAACAACTCTGTTTGATTTTTTATGGTATCTGTTTGTGTTTTCAAATGTACCGACTTACTCCTCTCCTGGAGTTTATTGTCTCTTTTCTCTTGCCTCTCATTCAGTTTTGTCACTATGAATATTCTGAATTGTTAATCTGACATTTCTCCAAGTTCTATTATACTGTCTGTGGATGAGAAGATGTTCTTTTCCCTTGAAGAAGAGAGATTTTCTTGGTTTCTTATCATTCTTATGCCACTGTGCTGGTTTCTGGTCATCTGATAGATTATATGTTTTATTCCTAATTTCTTGGAGTTAATTCTTTAGTGTCAGAAGGAAAGATGCATTCTACTTCTCTGGTGTGTTCTTTGGAGAGGTCCCCATCTTCCAATTAGAGAATGGTGTGACCTTGAGGTGCTTGGTCTCCTCACGCCTGAGTCTCAGAACCAGGTGTACCTGGGGCTAAGCTGTAGCAAAAGGAAGAGGTATAATCTGTGTGATGCATATGCATCACGGGGACTGGCAAAATATGAAGTATCAAAGAACACCAGGTATTACAAAAGTCATTGCTAGGATACAGAAGCCTCAGTCTCTCTACAGCTCTATCCCACTGAGTCTCACTCTGCAAGGTGATTGGAACTGGAGACTCCAATGGTGCATGTAAAAAAAAGAGTGGAACCATATAGATCCCAGCTAACACACAGGAGAGTTCAAAGGTGGGGAGGAAGGTGAGTTACAGTTTTTCTGCAGCTCCGATCTACTGAGGCTCATTCTGCACCATTGCTGGAACAGAAGACTCCAATCTGTTTTACAAACTTATTTAGAGCTTAATGAGACTAATTTCTCTTGATTTGTTTATAACCATTTTTTTTTGTTTTTATGTTTATTTGTTTGTTTTTGGAGAAGTTTTTGCTATAGGGCACGTGAGCTCGCCAGAAAGACAGAGAGACAGAAAGCGAGAAATCACCCCCGGGGGAAGGCCACACTGCAATCCCTCCTCCTCCATTCTCTTGGGCATGCACACACATGTGCCCAGCATAAACTGAAGCCACTGGGTCCGGGACTCAAACCGTGGTGAACTACATGTGAGTCCAGTGACAGCCATTATGCCAACACTGGTCCCATCCATCATGTTTTAAGAGACCAGATATTTTGCCAGTTTTACCTCTCAGATCCAGGTCTTTTCTGTGGACCTACAGAGCTATGGAGTGGGGCAATTACTCCACGTACGCCGACTTCGTCCTCCTGGGCATGTTCAGCGGTACGCGATTTCCCTGGCTCCTCTCCATTGTGCCCAAGATGCTGGCCGACCAGGCCATGGGCCAGAGGACTATTTCCTTTGCAGGATGCACTGCCCAGAACTTCCTCTACTTGACCTTATCAGGGGCCGAATCCTTCTTCCTAGGCCTTATGTCCTACGACCGCTATGTCGCCATCTGCCACCCTCTGCGCTACCCAGTCCTCATGAGCCGCAAGGTCTGCTTGTTGATCGTGGCAGCAGCCTGGCTGGGAGGCTCTGCAGATGGCTTTCTGCTCACCCCAGTCACCATGCAGTTCCCCTTCTGTGCCTCTCGGGAAATCAACCACTTCTTCTGCGAGGTTCCTGCCCTGCTGAAGCTCTCCTGTACAGACACCTCGACCTATGAGACAGCCATGTATGTCTGCTGCATTCTGATGCTCCTCATACCTTTCTCTGTCATTTCAGCCTCCTACACAAGGATTCTCATCACTGTTTGCAGGATGAGTGAGGCAGGAGGGAGGCGAAAGGCCATGGCCACCTGCTCCTCACACATGGTGCTGGTTAGCCTCTACTATGGGGCCGCCATGTACACATACGTGCTGCCTCTCTCCTACCACACCCCTGCGAAGGACAAAGTCGTGTCTGCCTTCTACACCATCCTCACCCCCATATTCAACCCTCTCATCTATAGCCTCAGGAATAAGGATGTCATAGGGGCCTTGCAGAAGACCATGGGGAGGCTATTTTCCTCAGAGAAGGTAACTGCTTTCTGAAGGAATCACACTTTCTACATGAGGTGAAAAACAGGATAGTTCAATAATAACTTCATCATATTTGAACTTAAATATTTTCTTTTTGGAAATTTAACATGTCACCCACAAGCCAGCCATAGGAGGTGGGAGTCAGACATTTTCTGAGCTTTAGAAAGATGACTGAAATTTTTTGGGGGGGGAGTAAACAAGTTTATTTGTAAATTTAGTCAACATGCATAATTGACTTAAAAACTTCAATGGAAGGATAAATTTTAAAACCACTTGGAAGGCCATCTCTATAAAAAGTACTTTTCCAGGACATTAACCAGATGTGGTAGGAGAGAGGCAGCACCATCTCAATTGGCAGAGGTCCAATGTGCTGGAGGGGTGAAGAAATCTCATCACTACAGGTCCTTCACCGTAGCACTTTGAGAGCTTCGTCGTTACCAGAAATCCACTGAACTGCTCATCGGAAGCTGCCCTTCCAGAGGTTGGTGAGGGAGATCGCCCAGGACTTCAAAACCAACTCGAGGCTACAGAGCACTGCCACTGGTGCACTTCAGGAGGCTAGTGAAGCATACTTGGTAGGTTTGTTTGAAGATACTAATCAGTGTGCAATTCATGCTAACAGAGTCACCATCACGCACAAAGACATCCAGATGGCATGGATATGGGGAGAGAGAGCTTAAGTGAAGGTAGTTTTTATGGCATTTTGTAGAAAATTCTGTAAAACACTTTGATTTAATTTGTGACTTTTTTTATAAGAAATTGTTTACAAGATGATTGGAATTTTGAGGATCTACTTTCTTTTTGAAAGTTATGAGAGTTCTGAGAAGTGGCCAGCTCTCATGGAGCAGGAAGAAGGTGGTTTTAGGCCCATGTCCTGTTAGCCACGCCTGTAGGTAGCTGGAAGTCACAGGGCAGCCTGATCCAGTGTGCTCAGTGAGGACAATGGAAAGGCTGGGCTTCGGCTGCTCCTCTGGCTTCTCACCCTCTCAGACACTGTCCAAGATGACCATTGTAAGGAATCATCTTTGCAAATATATTGATTGTGTTTCAAATATTACTTCAATGTCTAGCTGACTTTTCTATAAGTGATTTTTTAGTCTTCTATGGACACATTCCACATTTATTTATTTATTTAAAGTTTATCCATACAGAGAGGAAAATAGAGGCAGACAGGAACCTGCAGGTCTGGTCATGCTGCAGCTCCTACACCACCTCTGCCCAGATCTCCATCAGTGAGGGTCACGGACTCAGCCAGGGGTGCACTCACACCACTCAGCTCCTCCAGAGATCAGAACCCAGAGCCTTCTCCACCAGATCCAGTATGGCACATCTGTGTCCTACCACCTGCACCCACCTGGGTGACCCCACAGACACAGTTGGTTTCATTAAGTCCTCATTATTTGCTTGGAAAAAAAAAAAAAGTCTGACTCCATAACTTATTTTCTGGATTGGATCCTTTTGGTAGACTACAAGTACGTGTCAGATGTTAGAGGAGACCAACCCCTCGATGTCTGTCTTTAGCTTTTCTCCCATGTGCTTGACCAAACTCGTCCCAGGACAACCTAGTCAGTGTGGGGAGGAGGTGCTGGTGACAAGAAATGGCTGCTCCGTATTCTCCCCCTCACTGTCCTGCCCTCCAATGACAGTAATAGAACTAAGCAGCGAGGTTTCAAATCACACCTTTTTCTGACCTAATGAATTTTATTTCAAAGATCCTCATACAAAGCAATGAGATCCTTTTGAGAGTAAAATGGTGATTTCTTTTTGGGTAATTAATGGTACTTTTTCTAGTTTTTTTAATATTTTAGTTTATTTTATTGTATTTAATCTCTATAATTTTTTTTATTTTAACCGGTATATTTTGCTATTGAAATGAAGTATATTATGCTTATTTCTCTCTCTCTCTCTCTTGTTTTCCCCACTTGACTGAGCTCATTCTAAGTCCTCCGTCTTTCCATTTTCCTGCCTTCATTTCTTGCGTTACAGTATATTATTTAAAAAGGAAATTATTTTCATTCCAAGGAACCAAATACTCTTAACTATATGCTCATTATTAAAATCTGTAAGTATTTGAGAATTTAGTGTGTGTAGACAAGTTAGTTGGAAGTTGACATATATGTCAGAAAATCCAATACATCTATGTGTAACAGAATTAGAAAAGAAAAGAAAGTGAAATAGGAAAGAAAATAAAAGAAACAGAAAGAGAAAAAGAAAAAGAAAAAAGCTAGAGAATGACTGCACCTCGAAACCCTGTGCCACCCCTGGCTAATCCTACACAGGGCAAGACAGACCTGGAGTCCAGACTCCTGACTGGGCCAGTGGACAGAGTCGCTGGACAACCCAGCACCACAAAGGCACCCCCAGCTTCTGGGACAGACCAGAGGGCCAGCCATACCGCTGCTGGCCATCCTTAGTGATCTGAGCCCTGCGCGAGACCAGGCAGGGGGCAGGTGCACCTGCTCTGGGGCTCCCGTGCTGTGTGCATCTTGGCGACTGCAAGTTTGGGTGGGACTAGGGCGCTCAGGCGACCACAGCTCTGCCACCTCACTGGTCCTCAGACCTGAGGAGACTGAATAGGGGGCTCTGCCTGGAACCCAGGACTGGACCCACCAAGTAAACAGAGCAATGGGTTCAGGTTCCTTGTGAACTTTACCATGTTGCTCGGGAAACCTCCAAGGGTCTTGCCAGAGGCCACTTAGCCCAAGGACCCCTGGTCCTGCCTGAGTGGTGGAAACCTGGTCTTAGGACACCTGCAGTTCTTAAGCCACCTCAGTGACCGCAGGCTTGAGAAACTCGGCAGTCAGTCTCTTGAATTCCTGAAAAGCCCTCTGATAAAGGAGAATGAAAATAAGAACATTTGAAGACTGGATCAATCTGTAACTTGGCAATGCCCAGGTATCCACGTCTGTCCACAAACGCCAAGAACTGTCTGAGAAGCTCAGCATGGTGGCTCAGCAGGTGGGTGGAGCTGCATGATGCTGGAGCTTTATGGGAGGGCCTGAGTTCAGAGTCAGGCAGCCTGAACACACTGAGGGCACTCCTGAGGGTGCTTTCTATTTTGTTTAAATTTATTTATTTACATTCATTTACTATATATCATTATAACATACTAAATGAGAGATTTTCCATCCAGAATACACTGTATATTTGCTCAATCAAGAACATCAACATACATGTTATCATCAACAAATAATTTTCCATTTTTTGTTTCCTGTATATTTTGCTTTTATTCCCATCCTTGATTTTCTATCTCTCCTGTGCTATCTCCCACCCTCCTCCCACACTGTCTCTGGTATCCATGGTTGTTCTCTGTGCCTTCCCCCCTACACACACACACACACACACACACACACACAGATTTTATTGATTCACTAAAAATCTTAATTAATCTAAATATTTTCAAAAGCAAGCACAGCTGATATATACATATCCATGAACACAAGTCTGACTTTAGGCATAAACCTCAGTGAG